TTTTTTTTTTTTTTCATCAGTGGAACCACATTTTGCCAGTCATCAAGGCAGCACACAATGGCTCTGAACATCCCGGGGCTGGTAGTAATGGTGGTCTTCTACCTGATGGTGCTGGGCACTGGTCTGTGGGCCTCGATGAAGTCCAAACGGGTGCAGAAAAGCAGCCAAGCAGCCCAGACAGAGGTCACTTTGCTGGGAAACAGAGGGATCAGTATGGTAGTAGGAGTCTTCACAATGACCGGTGAGAGCGCATGTTTGTAGATATTTGGCTGTTATTGTAGCCACTTTCATTGAGTGAAACTGTGTAAGAACATAGTGAAGCACAAAATGAGTATGTTGTTGCATGAGCTCATCACAGTGCAACTTTTGTAATAGAAGTTATATTCTCTTTTAACTCCACCAAAGTAAATAGTTAGTAAAGTAGCTGGTGAACAACAACCTGTCTCTCTTTAACAGGGAGTCCCCCGTTTGACATTCTTTCAACAAAAACATGTGCAGCTATTAAGATAAAGGGACTAGCCTGTTCGTATGTAAAAGACAACAAACCTTTCTTAATATGGTTATTTAAAAAAATGTGTTGTTGTGCCTAATTTATTACATATTACAGTGAAGTGGAACCATTAAGCTTAAGTTGTTGTTTTTTTTAAATTAATATTCTTTGCTTAGTCTAAAAAAAAAACCCAAAAAAAATTCCTACATTTTGAGTTACACTAAGACACAGTTAAAAGAGAAAACAGATGTTTTTCAAACTTCATCTCATGTGCAAAAGTGTTCACACCATCAATTAACTGCTTATCAGTAGGCAATATTAATTTAGAAGCCTCTTTACCTGAGCCTGAAGGTCACAGTGTAATTTCTCTATGTGTGCTTGTGCTGTGCTCTCTGCAGCTACTTTTGTTGGAGGGGGCTTTATCGTTGGTCTGACAGAAGCAGTGTACACACCAACTATGGGGCTGGTCTGGGCAGTCATGCCATTAACAGCAGCCCTGTCTTTTATTGTTGGTAAGAGTTTTAATAATAACACCATTACCTGTATAATTTCTGCATTTGCACACGATTTCCCATTTTCTGAAGAAAGCGGCTCGTGTGTGTGTATGGTACTACACTACTACACTAATTTAATCGTTATTATTTCCCTGTCACATACTCGGTTACGCCTACAAATATCATATTCATCTGAACTATTAGGTAACATCTACAAAAATGACCTTTTTCAAAGCAAGGTTTTTATTTCTAGATATTATTTTTAATGTCT